CCTCCAGTATCCAAAGGACAATATCAGAACGAAAATTTAGAGACACTTTTTTCCGCTCTTGTGTTAATATTTTGTTACATATGTTTACATTGTTTTATACTATTTAGGATTAAACTTTACACGATCATCATCGCAAAACGCACATTCACAAACACATAAATATTTCGAGAATATTTATGAGCGCTTTATACGTATTCCTCTGCCGAAGGCGGAAAAGCCTTCGCCCGCTCATGAGATCAGGAAATTTTTCCATGACGGCCCGTAAAAACAATTACTTCATAAATGGAGGCGCGTAAACGGGAGTACATCCTGCGATGGCGCAATGCAATTTGCAACATCCGTGCGCGTAACGCACGTCGTTTTGCAGATCGATCCTATTAACGTTTGCTTTGTCGAGAAACAATCGCTACAAACGATAAATAATGGAGGCAATCAACGGGAACGCACTTTTTTTTTTTTAATCGCCCTTGTCATGCAAGCGAGAGCGACTTTCGCCGCCGTAATTTATCGGTACTTAATTGAATTTTTGTTATCATTTGGACTTCATCCAATTCTCTTTTACGATGTGTTTCACGTAAGATCACCACTAAGGGATACGCCTTGAAAGAACGTCATAGATATTAATCTATCTTATTTATGATATATGTATATATATATATATATATTTTTTTTTATAATATAATTATTTATTTCTTTTTTCAGGAAAAAACTTGTACTGTTTTCTCTGTCTTATTCTATACAAAAAATGAGATAAACTTTTATAACGTCTTTAATAAAATTCTCACATACTGTAAAAACGTGATTAACGACGATATCAGCGCCGTTGTCACATGTGACATTATTGTGTTTATCACGATACATTTTAGAAAGCACATGTATATATAAATGGTTCCATCCACGTTTAACCCTCGACAGTATAAACGGATGCCTCAATAGATTTCAAAACTTTTACTGGAGGTGTTACAAATACGCATATTCAATTATAAAATCGAATATAAATAAAATGATCACAAAACGAGTTTTCCTGATTTTTTTTTTATAACTCCCACACTTGACTCCTTTATTTCGCATAGTAACTTCGAATTTATTATAAAATACATCATTATATATATATGTGTGTATATATTATATAAACGGTATTTGCAATATAATATAAATTATATCATATTTGATAATATAATATATGCGGACACATTCACATTTTCATATAAAAAAAAGTGTTATACTGTATAGGATTAACCTTTCATATGTAAAATGTATACCCGCTCGCAATTTATCCATACGTTCGTAATTAATTAATAACAATTAAACGAGGCCGCGAGTATTGCTTTCTACCGCTCTGTAATGCTACAATTCGACTTGCGATGTCATTTGTAGCGTTTGTTATTAACAAATAACTGCTAATGATAATAGTACATTTTGAAGTACAGTATGAGTCAAATATCATTCCTCCAAAAAAAAAAGACCATCTTTTTAGATTGATAATTTATAATATATAATTTATATATGTGTGCGTCTCTTTCTTTCCCTTTAATAATCAGTTTATTGAAGATAAATATCCTGCGAGATAAATATAATTTTTTTTTTTTTTTTTCAGATAGTACCTTCTCGGACAATAATTTACAATCATACTGTACTATGAAGTGCCAGCTGGCTTGAGACGGGCCAACATCTTTATGTCTTTCGTTTGTTACATCAGCAAATCAGTCTTACACCTTCGTGCAAATGCGATAGCCCAATTTACAACGCGCGCTTAGTTCTACACGTGGTTGTCCCTCATTCTTACGTGACCTTTCTAGCTACTTCTCTTTTTTCGTCCTCGTATGAAGTAAGGGGATGTAGATGCACGACTCTGGAGGATGGTGGGAAAGTGTTTTGGACGGGATTATGTCTCTTCCCCCTTAGAGCTTTAACCGGTTCTATTTCATCATTTAGATTATCAAGAAACAAGTTTGAAACTCGTCGCTGTAAATTACTTGTTTCCAAAGTGTCAACATTTTATACGTTCTTTTTCCGTAACAAAAACTCACAAAAAAAATTCGGTTTCTTAATATGAACTTGGAATTTTTTATATTAAGATTAGACTCATTCTAATGTTCTAATTTTAAAATACGAATTACATCCATTTTTCTTCAATTTTTCATAATTATTTAGAAGTAAATTTTTTTTTTTTT